GTCTGGCATTTACAAAAAATATCTGGATTTGCCTCTAGACTTTTGGGATAACATCTTGTGGACTGATGAGTCAAACGTGGAACATTTTAGAAGACACATGCCTCACTACATCTGGCATAAAGCTAATACTGCATTCCATAAGAAGAACATCATGATGGTGGTAGTGTGATGGTTTGGGGCTGCTTTGCTTCCACGGGACCTGGACTAGTTGTCATAATTGATGGAGCCATGAATTGGGCTCTCTATCAGAAAATCCTCCTGGAGAATATCTGTCCATCAGTTCATGATCTAAAGCTCAAGTGCAAATGCAGCATGACAATGACCCAAAGCACACAAGTAAGTCTATCTCTGTATAATATAAAATAAACATTAAGTTTGAGAAATGTTCAAAAAGAAAAAACCCAGAAATCCAGTACACATCCAGCTGTGTAGGTTATGAACCTGCTACCACTGCTGTCCCACAGTCTAGCTGTGCTGTCAGAAAACACAACTTGGGAAATTTTGCACATAGTCCTAAAAGTTGTTGGTTCCAAAGAAGACATTTTGATAAGAGAAACTTACAGATGATGTTATGGAGATGTTGTAGGGGCCACAGACTGAGTTACATGATGTCAAAAGAAAAATATTCTCAAAGCAACTTAAGACCTCAGACAGAATGTTTTTCTGAAACATTCTTGTAATTTGATGTGTTTACACAACAGGTAGAACATGTTCCCTGTATTATATATATTATATATATTTATCCATGTAATATGTCATGAATTTAACATGTTAAATTTTTCATGTTTTGGGAATATTGTTGATGTAACAGATTACTTAACAGATAAAATATTCCTACAATGTTCAAGTTGATAATGGAAGAACATCCCCAATGTAACTTTTAGAAAATCTTCCCAAGACAGATTTTTTTCCATGAAGTAATCTTGTAATGTTAAATGTTAAAGACTGAACATGTTGCTTGAAACATCCAGATGATATTTTGGAAACACTGCTAGGGTAAAACGTTCTTCTAAAAAACCTTCCTTTAATGTTACACAATACAAAAAAAGAACACTTTTAAAGCAACGATGATTTTTCCAGGATGTTATGAAGGCCTTACATGACAGAAATTAAACATTCCAGTCATGTGGCATGTTAACATACGTGGAACACTTTGTGAGTAACATCCTGATGTTGTTGAAGTCTTTTACCAACATTCCCACAATGTAACATGATGACAAAGTGATCTGTGTGGATTTTCAGCCATCCAGGTCACGGTACTCCTTCAGTGAAAAGCAACTGAGCTTCTCTTTTATGTGCTTGAAGATGTTGCACCTCTCATCCAAGACACTTCTTCAGTTCTCGCTGAATGGTGAGGAGTTCACAAATATACAGCTGAGCCATTGGCTCTCCAGTGTAGCCCACTGTGGCCAACCTCTATATGTAGGGAAAACAAACTGCCTTTTTGTGACTGTGCTTTGCATGCTGAGGAGACCGGAAGCGTCAACATTGAAGTCTCAGAAAAACCTACACACACAGACCAATATCTGCTGTTTAAGTCCAACCATGCAGTGGAATATAAAGTGGGAGTTACCAGAACCTTACAGCACTGGACTGAGAATGTCCCTACGAAACCCAGGGAAAAGAGAAGGAACACACACATTAGCAAAACACTGACAAACTGCAGCAATCCCAACTGGGCCTTCATCAATTCAAATCATTTCAGCAAAGCAACATTGTATATCCAGTCCAATGCAGCAAGGACTGCACAGACCTGTATGTAGGGGAACAGGTCCACAAGCTCATGGCACAACAATGGTGAGCCTGTTCATCAGGACAAGACTCAGCAGTTTAACTGCATCTGAAGGATAAAGGACAGTCCATTGAGGACAGTAACGTACACATTCTGGACAGAGAGGATTGATAGTTTGAAAGTGGAGTGATTGTTAGTTATTTCTGACACGGCAGCTTCATTTTCATTCATATTTCTCTTGTTTCTTCACCTTGTTTTACAACCATTCACATCTCGTTGCATGCAAGTCCTGAGTTGTCAATGGGCCATGAGCCATGTGAGCTGGAGTCACTATATACATTGGAAATTCCCCACCAGTCAGCTAGAACTAAAAAAGCCTCTTGGGTGACAGGTGACATGTCTTTAAGAATCTAAAAGGAAAGTTAAGTTCCCTTTTACTGACGTTCCTAAAGCCTCGGGCACAACCAGGCTCTTATGGCCTGCCTGCGTCCAAGTTTTGTGCAGAATCACACATGCCCCGCAAGTTTATCTTGCAAAATTTCAAGGTCGCAGACAGCCCGTAAGCACAAACGGAAGATTTTGGACATGTCCAACAAATTCTACAAATTCCCTGTGAACAGCGACGCCACAAGTGTAACTTGCTCCCCCTTCAAGGAGTTTGGAAGTAAGACGTGCTATTTTTAAGGTACTGTGGGAAGAAAATCGGTGGTCTAAGACAGCAGGCATGCGTCAC